TAAAATATAAGAACTAACCACGGGTCCAGTTAGTCAGCTTATCCATAATCTTTGGATTGATATTCACAGCACATCACTAACTTTTTTCTGATACATAAATACACAATCGAATTTTTTTTAAATTCAAATGAATGACTTATCCCAACAACGAACTTTGAAATGTGGCTGCAGCAACAGGCGTTGCGTATAGCGTAGCCCGATTAGCATCCCTTCTCCAATTCGTGGATATACATGGTTCCATCCATTCCTCTCACCCTTTTGCTAGAAATATTGATTTTACACAAAGGATGATTGGAGGGAGAATTCAGACTATCCTAAGCTTTACGCTTGTCCATTGTTTATCTTTGGAACATAAATAGAGCATTACTAAATTTATTAAATCAATTTCGTCTTATTATTTATTATTATCTTATTGTTGATACATATAGAATTTCGCTATTTATAAGCTTTGCATCTTCAATTATAAATTATTATAAAATGCAAAACCGATCCTTTCCGGTACTGAAAATTTTTTAATTTATAAGTTGATCGAAAATTGTATGAAATGAAAATTTATTTTTTACTTCTAGCCTGGAAATTCTAGGATATTTTTACGACTGTTTGTAATTGTAATGATTATTATATTTTACAACACACGTGAGATAGTAGAATATATCATTAATAAAAATTTATTTGAATTCAACTTATTCACAATAAATGATGAATAGTGATGTAAACTAATTCTATATTTAGGTTCAAATCAATTAACTTTCTTTCATGTGCTATTATTGATTGAATGAATCTTTCTCATTACAATAAGATATATTGATTTATAACTCATAACGGCAAACAAATACATTGCAAATTTATTATTTCGTACAGATATACATATACTAAAATATTATGAAATTTGACATAGTCTATTTATTGAAATTTAAAATAAATGTACCAGAAGCATTAATAATTATTATGAAACAACTTCAACTTGAACTTTTAATAATAATAATAAAATTACAAAATTATGAAGTAAATAGAAGTACAATATTAAATACCAATTATTTTTTACATTCTGCATTTTACCTTTTGCAGTTAAATTTATCTTTCAGATATGGTAGAAATTGACTTGCCTTAATAATAAATTGTTATATATAATAAACCAACAAATAGTTTAATGATGAATTTTTCTGTAATTATCTATACATATAAATGCATTGTCTGTATACATGATAATGATGAACATTACGTTTTGTGTATGTAAATAATAATAAGCTGTAGCAGTCAATGAAGTTGACACGCTCTAACTGCAATTAATTGCAAAAGAATAAATATGGGGCTTAAAACTTCCGAATATTCTAGAGGGCTTTGTCCTGACAACTTCTTACAAAGGAGATATTTAAAAACAAATATTAGAAGTAGTAATATTAGACTCCATAATGCTCTTAGGATAGCAGTTTTGATCATTCCTTCCATATGCATTCTTATGAAAATAATTGCGCAGAAATAAGTATTCAGGCCGTCTGCGACAAAAAGTGGTGAGAATACTATCCACCATCCTGCATGGCCCAAGAAATAATTGTCATCTAACTTAAGAGCTAACAACACTGTGAAAATTGTTAGTGAAACTAAATTTATCCATATTTCAAAAATTGTCAATCCCAGCCAGTGTACTAATTCATTTAATGAAAATATCATTTTAAAGGGATTAAATATATCTGAGACAAATTATTAATTTGATTTTATATTTTCATTTGTCATATTATAAGTTGCCCTTTGCTATTTTTTATAAATTGCTTTTGTTAACAGATCTTCAGCAGTTTCTCAAAAGATGTACTTCACTTTTGGTATTTGAGGGTACCTAGTGAAAATTTTCGAAACACACGAATATGTACTGCTGAGTTGTTTCGATTAATTGTTACATAATCTGTGTTATCATCGACAGGTTCAAGATCATCTGGAATAAATACAAATCTATTAGTGTAATATTTAGTATTATGAATATGGTCTTATTGTGTAATATTTATATACCAATAATAGGTACTGTAGAAGTCTTGATATCTAATTCTATGGTATTGTAATGATTCTCCTTTAATTGTAAGGCCAACCTGCATGCTCTTTCTACAGCAGCACCAAGGCCATGAATAACCACTTCTGAAGCACCATTGCTCAAGTCCTTTTCACATATTCTCAATTGTGCCTTATATATCATAAAAATATAAAAAAATCATTAATTAAAATCAAAGAAAAAAAACGGTGTAATTATTTCATCGATAATTTACATGACTGTAAACAATTAACTATATCAATGTAGAATTCTAGATGTAAATATAAAAGTAAGTGACAAATTAAGTAAATTCTCTAATTACATATTTATTCTTTGTTCTGTAGGATAATAACAAGGATTCACGAAGAAGGTATTAGATTTTATTTTCGGACTTATCAACAAATGACAATGTTAAAAATACATAAAGGTTATAGTCTCTTAATAAAAATTACCTTAAAGTTTGTTTTGTTAGTAACGTATATGTCTTTATTTTTCCGTTTCTTTATTGTATCGAAAGGTTGCCTCTTTTTAATAATATAATTGGAAAACAATAATTTTTTACGTTTCACGGTTGGAGCATTTCTCTCTCCTGGAAAATTCACTTTCAGCTTGGAACATTCGTGCACATCGGCCATTCTGACAGATTCTGTATGCAATTTCTGTATGCAATTTTGTTGATTTTTTACCTGTAAAGAAACGGTTCGATTAATAGGAATTTCTCTTTTATCAAATAGGAGACGATTATTGAATTGACTATGTAAGAATTGAATAATAATTACAATTATCAGTTGTAACAAAGAAATATAACCTTGAAAATCAAGAGCATCGATTGATGGACGTTTTGAGTGCGATTTAGTGCATTGTACCGAAAAGAAGTGACACTTTTTGTATTAACACGAAATACGAGATTTGTATACCATGAAGGAACCAGAAGTAGATCCGAAAAATATTATAAAAAGCAGAGAGCTCCTTTATAGGCTTATGATCAGGTTACGTGTTCCCGTTTTTTGTACATATGTAAATTATCATTTAATTACTTGAAAAGATGAAAGCAACTATCATTTGCAATAGTAATAGTTACTCAAATTATTAGAATTACTAAAAATTATTTACGATCTGCACACTTTTTTTTTTAATAAATTGAAGCCCATTACTAACGTATAATAAACATTTTAGCCAATTGTTCTACGATGGACATCAGACATTGGCTGTACAGCTGTCAAATGTAATTCAAGCAGAACCTCCATGTCCTCCGTCTGACCGTTTGCTTCATTTAATGTTGATTGGACTGGCACACGAACCAGACCGTTCTAAAAAGGATACTAGTAATTTATCTTCTTTCACGTCGACCTTTGATAATACTTTGGGACCTGGCTTGGATTTAGAATTTGAGACTGAGGCTCAAACTCAAGCACCAGAACCAGCGCAGTATGAGACTGCCTATGTGACTTCACATAAAGGAAATTGCAGAGCTGGGGCATTCTCTGCAGATGGTCAATTGATTGCCACTGGATCTGTCGATGCATCGATTAAAATCTTAGATGTAGACAGAATGCTAGCCAAATCTGCGCCAGATGAAATGGCACCTGGTGATCAAACAGGTGGCCATCCAGTTATAAGAACATTGTACGATCACTTGGAAGAAGTGACGTGCCTGGAGTTTCATCCAAGAGAGCCTATCCTTGTATCCGGAAGCAGAGACTTTTCTATTAAGCTGTTTGATTTCAGCAAAGCCAGCGTTAAAAAGGCATTCAGAACTATTACTGATGCAGATCAAATACGATGTTTATCTTTCCATCCAACTGGTGACTTTTTGGTTGTTGGAACTAATCATCCTGTAGTTAGATTGTACGACGTCAATACGGCGCAGTGCTTTGTCTGTAGCATACCAAGTCATCAACACACTGCTGGAATAACTAGTATTAAATATTCTCCCGATGCGAAGACTTACGCATCAGCTGGTAAAGATGGAAGTATCAAATTGTGGGATGGTGTGTCGAACCGATGCATAAATACTTTTGTGAAAGCACACGACGGCTACGAAGTATGTTCAGTGACTTTTACAAGAAATGGGAAGGTTTGTACTTGAAATATTTATCTGTCAAATACTAAATTTGCATATTAAGTAATCTTCAGTACATAATCTTCTGAATTTCAGTATTTACTATCATCGGGGAAAGACTCTTTGATTAAATTATGGGAACTATCTACTAGCAGATGTTTAATAGCATATACAGGTGCTGGAACTACAGGTAAAATAAAATACTAAAGCGCTAAGTGCGTTTGCAAAATATATGCAAAAAGAAATTAAGTTCGTTTTTCGTTTGTTATCGTACAGAATTGATTAATCTAATCCATGATTAATCTATGGTTTTTAATAGGCAAACAAGAACATAAAGCTCAAGCTATTTTTAATCATACCGAGGATTATGTAATGTTTCCCGACGAAGCAACGACGTCGTTGTGCGCATGGAATTCTCGAAACGCGTCTAGGAAACAATTACTATCACTAGGACACAATGGTCCAGTGAGATTGATCGTTCACTCTCCAACGGCTCCAGCATTCTTAACGTGCAGCGACGATTTCCGAGCAAGATTTTGGTTCAGAAGAATGCCGACTCATTAGATCGGCATTTATACAAGAACGAAAGCCCATTGTGAACTGTCTTGAACTTAAATTTGGTAATACTTGATATAACTTTAGATGTCATTGTCACGGTAGCAGTCGTTTGAAACATCGAAAGAAAAGTATCGGATTGCGAATGATAATGATGGAAAAAGACTGTACAAAAAAAATCTTCAACGATCAGATGTTTAATTGCCATGCCTTGAAACGATGTTAAACAACGATACGCCCTAATTTTATACCATTGTACTTATTCATTCCGCTCTGCTTGTTTTTGAAGTAAAAAGACGACAATGTCGGTTTGTTTTGATATCTATTTTCACCGATGTTAATGTTATTAATAGGTGAGTTCCTATAAATGACGCAATTGCTTGTGCGTCCGTTAAATCGTTTTAACTATAGAGACTGGAAACTCTTCATTTCTCGTATTTACAAATACGAATCAACGAATCAGAAGATGTATCACGTAATAAACGTATGACGTGAGGTATTTCGATGTTCCCGCAGAATTACATGATGTGCATTGTTAGCGATGCGTGTTTTGAATTTCGTTTAGCTTTTTCCATGATACCGCCGAAAATTTAATGATCAAGCGTTTTTCTCACGTTAAAGACAACTTGAGGAAAAACTCATTTCGTAAAGTCGTAGTGGATCCTGTCGATGAGGTCGAAAGTGACGTCGACAAGTCGGATTAAGAGAGTGATGACGACGATGATGAAGAATAACAAAGTGAAGATTAAACGAATGAATTTAAAACGTTCCGTACGTTATGCGTCGCTACGTGTCAAATTGCTCGGTTAATCGTAAGGCGGCGCTCTGAACTCCCGCTCTGCGTTTGACGATGTGTCACGTGACCCACGCTAACCGCCATCTTTGCTTATCGTATAAACAGTGCGACCGGGTTCAGCACGAATTCTTGTTGAGAAACCACGGTTTTTCCAGTGTTTTTGAGTGATTCGGTTGCGAAGAAATGTCCGAGATCAAGGCGGAGAGCAAGAACGACAACAACATCGAGGATGTGTCGAAGGTAAGCGGAGAGAAGCACGAGAAATATCTTCATCAAGCCGAGTTTTCATGCTAAGGCGGCGTGTTGCGCCCCTCAAATATGAGAAGACGCTCGTTCTCTCGAAAATTCGATAGAATAGCCTGTGCTACGATGAGGGGACGTTGTTTGGCGAGTGATCGCGCGACGCACGATGCTGCACAGCTAAAAGGCACGGACGCCTTTTGCCGCGTAGCCACGGGCTCAGTGATTTTTCAAAGCTGCGCCGTTTGTCCTTCATTGGCAAAGATGGTGGATGTTTTTTATTTGCACCTCTCGTGACGAAGGGACTCCCTGGTTAACGGCAATAGGCGTGTATCGAAAAAGGCGGGAAATAGATTTCGGCCGCAGATCTATCTGTCACGCGGTTTTCTACAAAAACTCGCTCTCTTTTAGGAACATCGTTCGAGGCTACGACGCTAGAAATACATATCGACTTGGCAAAATGGCGGGAAACTTAAACAAACTTTTCGTATATTCCCGTGTAGATCCCTAATAATCTTATCATGGGTGTAATTATGTTTGTGCATTTTTCCATATAGTTTGACACAATTCTTAAATCAGCCATCGTTTAACGTGTCCCATTTCTTTTTTTTTCATCGACCATTTTACGTTATGTGATTGCAATTATTCAGTGACGTGATGAATTTTCATATATTTCGCTTTTGAAGTATAACGTAAGAATGAAATATTTTCAGGACCATTCAGCAGAGGAGAAACCAAGTCCAACGAAAAATAAACGGGGAGGAACGAAAAGACTCTCCACACTAGAAAGATTGGCTCAAGAAGGAGAACGAGTCACAAAGGTACATTTTGTTTTTTTCCTTTTTCCATTTCTGTCTTTTCCCTCCCTTTATTCTTTTGTACGTTTTACATTTGTTCTTCTAAGATCAGATCATCATAAAATGAAAATTAGTTTCGTCGAAAAATTCGAAAGCACCTTCAAATTCAAAATCCAAGGAGTCAAAGTTTCATCCCTTTAGTTCCTTATTTCCCTCCATTTAATCTGCCCCGTAAACATTATCTACGGGAGTAGAAGGGTGTTTAGAGTGGGGATGTGAAGGGGTTGGAGTAGGTGTGGAGGGGAATTCTCGTGGGCTTGGAGGGGGAAGGACTAACACACGTAACCGTCAGTTATAAACTTTAATATTAAAAATTCGTATTTTTCAGATTGATTGATCGACTTCTTTTTTTTTCATTATTACTTTATTACTTACACTCTCAAAAATCATGTTATCGTATAGCAAAATATCAATAGCTAAAGTAGACCGTGGACTTTGATTTATATTTTCAAATTACGTTTATAGTCATGATTAATAGCGAATGATTTCCTATTACAGGATTTAAATGCTTCTGTTGGAGAAGTTGAAGGGAGGAGGCGCACACGTAGTTCAGCACGAGGCCTTACCTCATCTACACCTGTGCCATCTCCACCTAAGAAAGAGAAGAGGGACACATCTACGAAAGGTAGTGGTCGTGGACGCGGGCGTCCAAAACGACAAGAAAAAAATAATGACAATAATACAGATGAAGAAGCAGCTAATAATAAAAGCGAAAAGCATTCCGAAGAGGAATCTATGAAAATGGATGTCGATGAACACAAAGAGGATACCGAAAAATTGGGAGATAGCGAGGACAAGAGCGTCACAAAATCCGAAAATAAAGAAGCTTCTGACAAGGCGCTTGACTCTAATTTCAAGGAGGAGAAAGTTACGGAAGAATCAGAAAACTTTGCGGAAGAAAGTAAGAGTCCTAGTATCAGTGAAGAGAAAAAGGAGGAGGACATAAAGGATAGCTCGGATTCGAGTCAAGATGCAACAGACACAACAACAGAGGCACCACCTTCATCTTCATCAGAGTCTCAAAATCCCTCTAATGCTACTACTACCGAAGAACATAAGGAATAACCTTCTTTCGCCTGTTTACCAACATCATGTAAGCATTTTTTTCTTTTTTTTTTTACAATTGATTATTTGGATTATTTGATTCGCCACTAGCATTGATTAGACTTTTGTTTAAATAAAGTTCCAATGGAGAAGAATGAGAATGTATGAGTCTTGCAAAGAAAATACATAACTAGTCCTGTGTATTTATTTTAGTTTTGAACTTTTGAGAATATGCGAACAATTGTAATTGTTATTAACAAAAATATGAAATGTTACAAATATATATACTGTCATTAGTTATGGCTTATGAGACAGGAGATCTTCTATCTTTCCATACATTCTCAGTCTTTTCAGTTGGTATACGAGTGCATAGTATAGTTATTTAACAATATGAAGTATGAATGATATTATAAAACTTGTATAGATTTTTATAAACTTTAATAATGTCAGTACATGATTGGAAAGCAAATTGAATCATAGAGAGCATTGTCAAAACGTAATTAGAGCTTGTTTAGAAGCAAAGACTTTGTTATAAAATATTGATTTTACTGTAGCAGGTACCAGGGCGGCGCACACATTGGGGTTACAAATCCAGTCCCCTCGTCTATTTTAACAAATTGACACCTTCTTGCCAATCGTGATCCTAATCAGCGTACACGAGCTATTATTTCCCTTTTTAATTCGCAGATTAAAAAAAAAGGTTAATGTTATTCATTTATCGTCAGGATAAATATATGTCTAATTAGCGTATTTAGTGGTATTGGATGTATACCACAGAGTAATTATTTTATTTAGTTTTACTTTGAGAGAGAGCGAGAGAGAGAGAGAGAGAGAGAG